GCCTCTGTGCTTTCAAGAAGGGAACTCCCCAGCCTGTATGTATGCTGTGGATTCCTTCTCCCAAGGTGCAGCATCCTGCATTTGTCTACGTTGAACCCCATCCTATTCTCATCTTCCCACATTTGTAATCTGTCTAAATCTAGTTGCAGCCTCTCTCTCCCTTCAAGTGTGTCCACCTCACCCCACATCTTAGTGTCATCAGCAAACTTGGACAGCGTGTTTTCCACCCGCTCGTCCAAGTCTCTGGTAAAGATGTTAAACAGTGCGAGTCCGAGGACCGAGCCCTGGGGTACCCCACTGCTCACATCTCACCAGGTTGAGCACAACCCGTCCACCACTACTCTCTGGGTGTGCCCCATCAGCCAATTTTTTACCCATCCAACTGTGCGGGCATCAATGCCGCAGTCACTTAATTTATTGATGAGGATGGGGTGAAAGACAGTGTCAAAGGCCTTCTTAAAGTCTAGAAAGACTGTGTCCACAGCAACACCATCATCCATTTTAACTCACTGAAGTTGAGTTAGAGTAGAAGATGGTCATCCTTGAAGCTTGTTTTGGGAAGTTCGAACTGCACTGTAGCAACTAAGACTTTGCAGCTTGTCTTCAGTTTATTTTAAGAGGTGTTTGTTGCGGGTTTTTCCTATTTTGAAGTGCTACTTCCTAGATCTTGTTTTTGTCCTTATAGCAGTTTCAAGTTTTGTTTTCTCTCTTCCCAGCTTCTGGCCATCCCCACAGCTTTTTCTGCCATCTAGAGCTTGGTTCTGACCGGGAAGTGCCTTCCAGTTTTGTCCGCTATGTGGACGTGGAGTTTGACATGCCCACCACTTCAGCATCCAAAGCTGCCATTCGGTCCATCTCTGTAGAAGACAAGACTGACGTGAGGAAATGGGTGAACTATTCAGCACACTACAGTTATAAGGTAAAGCAAGCAGCTGGCCTTTGCTGAGGGCATATAGTTGTTGTATAACTTCATTTTTCTCTAAGTGAATTTTGTTCTGATAAAAGTGATGACTTGTCGTAAGTGACATAATACCAGAAGTAGCAGCAGAACTGTGCTTGTTGAGGCTTTTGATCTTTTGTACAAAAGGCCTTATATTTCTTACATTTCGATAGGGTATTGGAGGGAGCTGTTTTGTACCTTATGGTGAACATGGAAAGGATGGACTGGATCATCTTATGAATCCTTTGAACTGAATATCCATTGCACTGTTGCATGCAGTTGTGAGAGACTGGATCTGATGGAAAAGGTTGTCCCATCCAGTCCTGTGCTTCTCAGTTTCTAAGCTCTATTTGTTTCATAGTAAAATTCATGGGATTTTTTGGTATACTAGGTCCCATTTAAAATTCCCATTTTAACAATAATACTTGTTAGCCTGAAGGACCACCTGTCAGGATGCTAATTAACCCAGAGGGTCATTAATCTTCTATGACCCACAGGTAGTCAGGTTCAGGGCATTAAAGTAAGTTAATTTCCCTGAGCACTGATCTACTGCCCGACCCCACTCAGAGTTTGAAGGAGTAGCTACACACTACAACACAGGTAGGTTGAGCAATATAAGCTGTATTACACAACAAAACCCGCTCAACAACTACCCAACGCAATAGTCCTGTCACACCCAAGCTGCGACACAATAAAATGCACCCAACAGGGCAATAGCCTGAGCACATCCCAAACCCAATGCCCCTGGTCACACAACCAGTCGACTACACATTACAATGATCTTTGGTCACTACGCATTTAACTGCTATGCACCTTTACGGACAACCCAGAAACAAATGGCAGCAAGAACACCCTGGGCCTAGTCAGCAGGAGAAACCCTCTGATAGTCCCTAAGGATTTCTAGCTTTTCCCTGCTTAGGTACTCAGCACCTCAAATAGGGAAAGGGTGACACTTTACCCAACTGCAGCTTCCCAACAACCAGGTCACAGCAAGGAACCTGCGCTCGACGAACTCCTGCACCCTGAGAGCCTGGAGCCAGAACTGTCCAGCCAGAGTAAGAGCAAGTCCCTGCCTCTGCCGTCTGCTCCGGACAGGATTTATAGCCTTGTAATCATGCAACCTGTCACTCGCCCAATGGTCCAATCATCGCCCTTTTCACAATACCCAACCAAATTCAAACCTGGGCAATACTTAAAAGGACAAATCAATTCAAACTATTTCAACTCAGTACAAGCAACATTATCATAACTGTCTTATTAATTAACATATCAACATAGATAGACAGTTGCATTACCATTATACACTACCTGTGCCCAGACCTTAAAAGTAGGTCATGACTTTATCACGGTTGAGAGTTCGAACCCTCTAGACACTTCTCACCTCTAGTCATATGGTGCATGCGTGGACTTCCACTGTTCTTCAAGCCAAGAAACAAGGCTCTTCTGAACATCTCGGAACTTCAAGGAAATTTGGATTCAGCTTCAAATTTGCTTTTGCAGTTTTGGTTCTGGGCTTGGATGGAAAACCAGAATGGGGTTGGAACTGCTACCAGTCTGGATGTGGCCAAAATCATGACATTCCTCTCTCAAAATGGCAGGAATCTTCCAAGATAGCAAAAATAGCACACAGTTGCCAACAGTCTGGATGGTACAACTGTGATCTGTTCAAAATGTGAAAGCACTGTTGAATCCTAAACTCTAGCCATGGTTTGATCCCAAGCCTAGACATGGAAAACGTTTTAAACCTAATCTAGCTTTCCCTTCTCAGCTATGGTTGAGAGCATGTTACCTTCCAACCTCTAGGATGATCAGAAGAGTTGAGGTGGCTTGAGATGAATAAAACATAGAAGCTAGTTAAACTTTTTTGTTATTTTCTTTCTCATTAGTGATTTTTCTTTTTTTTTCTCATCAGGTGGAAATTGAACAAAAAAAAAGCTTGGATACAAATCTAAAGGGAGAAGAAACTGAAAACTCCAGTGAATGTGCCATTCAGTGAAGGGAAGACTCACCTGTGACATTCATGAGAGGAGTAGTAGTATCAACCCAGCTGAAGAGAACTACAGCACCTTGTTCCTGCTGCAAGTACAAGGCAGTACTTTTAAAATAGTTCTCTTCTGCGTGACATTATTTTGAGTTTTCTGCTCACTACAAGTCGTATTCTGAGAGGAAACTCCTTGATGGTTTGTTTAGAACAGCCAAGGGTCTTCAGTGGAATATTTTACATACCTTTGGTGTATGGATAAAAAAGATTTACAATACATTCAAGCCTGCCGCCTTCTCTGCCTTGTCACCATTTAGCTTTCTGCACTGAAGTATGGTGTGCTAACAACCACAGCCAAGATAGAAAGCAACTGTGTCCTCGCTTACAAGTCTTTTCCTCCAAGTTGAATGTTTTCTTGTAAGCTGTTGGTCTGGTTATCAGTAAAGCTCTCTCTTTTTATCTGCAGAATACACATGAGGAGCAACAAAGAGAAAGAGATACGGTCATTATTTTTTAAAGTAATCAACAGAGGGAAGTTAGAGAACCCTGAACTTCAGTCTAGAGAATCAACAGTCCCTCCATCTAAAACAAAGGGAACGCCAAGCACATGAACAACTGGTTATCATCTTTACACTCACCTTAACCAATCCACTAACCAGAACATTAAGGTGGATTTTCCTATGGTCCTAACTAGTCATAAGAAAGACCCCTCTGCTCTCTACGGTTTTCACTTGCTGGTCAGGGTACTTTCTTTATCTTGACTTAATGTGATTATAGCTGCTATTACCAGAGGTTGTGCAGAGCAACAGGGATGATATAGAAGGGGCATTACTACAAGTAGATCATTCCTGCCTGGAAAGATATTTGAGGGAAATAGATTTTATTTTGATATTTTCTTTGATGTTTAAGGGGACTAGTTGCTTTTTCATGCCCAGAACGAATCTTGCTTTAACATGAAGGATTTTGTGTTCCTGATACTCTTTGGAAAGCATAATGAAGAGTAAATGTTGCATTTTCCTGTTCTTGAGGTACACTTTTGCTTTCATGTTCCATCTGAAGTCTACAACACAACAAATCCATAAGCTACAGACAAAAGATGCCGTTAACTTTATAAATTACACAAACAGGTCCTAAAACTTTAGTTCTTCAACTTTAAAAACACATTCCTCTGCCACACTGAACTAAAGATCAACTTTTTACTGAAAGTAGTGGCAAGCTCCTCTTGTCTCCCTACACCAGGCTGTAAAAAACAAAATCACTCACTCAGACACATCTATCATTGAGTCATAAGATGTTCATAATACCTAATTTTCACAACCGTGGGCATGATTTATTTGGTCTCTTTTTCAAAAATTAAATAACTAAATAATAACCATAACTTATTCAACCATTTAGCTTTTTTAAAAGGACCCTGTTAACTTGCAAATCAGACATTACAAATACTTATCAGTGTGACTGACACACTATTTTAATTAAATTTAGAGACTTTTAAACTTTTAAATTTATTTTCTGGTATTTGCATTTCACTCAAGACTGTATTAAGAATTAACTTTCGCTTTTGATCCCTGGTTATTTTTATTCTGAGTCTCGTGAACAGTGTAGCAATGTTTAGGTTCCAAATAAAACATGGGATTATTTACATTCAGACAAAAACTGTTTTTATTAGAATTTAAAAAAAATGTGGGAGCCTTTCAGATGCTCTTTTTATATACTTCTAAATGTTAGGTCTAGATTGTTTTGATGCTATCTGTTTTAAATTCAAAATTAAGGAAGAAAGGCGCTTTTTTTTTTCTTTTTATGCAGCTCTAAATGTAGCATCTATGGCAAAAATACATTGCTAAAATGGACTAAGGGTCACAGTGCCATGAAGACCTGTACCTGGGCTTGGCATAGTCCAGGGGTTCCCAAACTGTGGTACACTTACCCCTGGGAGTATGCAAGACATTTCTGGGGGGTACACGGAAGAAATTGTCTAATGGGGGATTTAATTTTTATTGTAATAATAATTGGCATTTAAGGGGCTAAAATATAAAACGTAGGCTGGTAGGCATATGTGGGCAGCTGGTAAATCTGGAAGGGGGTACACAATAAGAAAAAGTTTGGGAAACTCTGGAATCTTCTATTACAAGTGGTCCTACTGAATCCAAAACAGCTCTCCTCCATTTCATTTGGTATCAAGTATTTTCACGGTCTGTCTATAATCAGGAACACTAATACCTCCTGTAAAGCAGTTTGAGATCTGTGGCTGAAAAGCATTGCTGAAGTGCTAAATCTGATTATTATGTATGAACTAGGGTTGCATAAAGTTAGAGGCGAGTCTGAAACTTCCAAACATCTTTTATGTCCAAGAGGTGGTAGATTTGAATGCTGAGGCCAGATGTGAATGTCATTATTGACTCTATGCTTCACAGCCAGATGGCTCTTAGCTTGGATTTTATGGCTTAGGCCCCTCCCGTAAGCAACATGAAATTTGACTTCTCAAAGCTAACATTTTTCTGTGCTTCAGATATACCCAGCTGGCTTTTCCCCCTTATTTCCTGTATTCTCTGCTGCCCCCAGATCACTGGTTTCTGAGAAGGAGCAGAAGGAGAAGTAACAGTGCAGAAGTGAATGTGCTCTCAGGGTATTTCTGAAGAAGTGTCAGAGAGCTCTTGTGAAAGAGCCTGGTCTTACAAAATTTCTAGCCCAGATTTGCAGACCTCAGAGTTCTGCCTAGCTCATACAGGTGAAAAGCAACCTGTTCAAATTTGCTGATGATACCAAAATTTGGGGTGAGGTGGGTACGTTAACAGGGAGGGAAAGACTGCAGAAAGACCTGGATAGGTTGCAGGGGTAGGCTAACAAAAACAGGATGCGTTTCAATACAGACAAGTGCAGGGTGCTGCACTTGGGCAGTAGTAACTGGCAGCACACTTATAAGATGGGAAACTCCCTTCTTGAGAGCACGGAGGCAGAAAGGGATCTTGGAGTCATCACTGACTCCAAGATGAACATGGGCCGACAATGCGAGGTCACGGTCAGCAGGGCTAACCAGACCTTATTGTGCATCCACAGGTGCATCTCAAGTAGGGCCAAGGAGCTGATCCTCCCCTTCTACACGACACTGGTCAGACCGCAGGTGGAGTACTGTGTCCAGTTCTGGGCACCCCACTTCAAGGGGGATGTGGACAACATTGAGAGGGTCCAGAGGAGGGCCACTCACTTGATCTGGGGACAGCAGGGCAGACCCTACAATGAGAGGCTACGGGACCTGAACCTATTCAGCCTTCACAAGAGAAGGCTGAGGGGGGACCTGGTGACCATCTATAAACTCACTAGGGGGGACCAGAAGAGTTTGGGGGAGACTGTTTCCCCTAGCGCCCCCCGGGATAACAAGGAATAACGGCCACAAGTTGTTGGAGAGTAGGTTTAGATTAGACATCCGTAGGAACTACTTCACAGTTAGGGTGGCTACGATCTGGAACCGACTTCCAAGGGAAGTGGTGCTGGCTCCTACTCTGGGGGTCTTTAAGAACAGCTTGATGCCTACCTGGCTGGGGTCATTTGAGCCCAGTTTTCTTCCTGCCCAGGCAGGGGGTCGGACCTGAAGATCTACAAGGTCCCTTCCGACCCTACTTCTATGATTCTATGATACTGATGCTGAACTTTGGCATGCTTTGTCCTATCCTAGTGACAGATAAATATAAGATATGATTAAGCAACCAGATTTGACAGTCCTGAAAAGGAGAGGAAATTCAAAAGGAATATAGTTTCTTGTCTGTTTTAAGCAATTTACTATGTACAGCAATCCAACCCAGGACAATTTATCCCCAACAAATTGGGAGATGCAGACACTGGAGTTTTTTGTTTCTGTTTCATTTCTCTGCTTCATTTTCTCTCTCTCTCTCTCTCTCTCTCTCTCATTTAATTCAAAGTAAATTACAGAAGTCAGAAGCCTAATGGAGTTAAAAGAGTGAAATCATAATTGGGTCCTGTAGTTGGGGAAAAATAATTTAATTCCTTTTTGATCCTCAGAGAGCATCTCTTTTATATTTTTCTGAGTTTATCCAGTCAGATTTGCTAGAATTCAGCACCAATAATCATGCCAGAGTTTGAAAAAGAACATATCTCACTTTGATCCCAGAATATGTAACTAGACTTTCAAAACAACTTTGGGTACTGGATTCTTCTGAAAAGCTAGTCCTAAAGATCACAAGCAGGGCTGCTGGATGCTAAAACCTTTTGTCAATCTTGTGCCAAATACTAGTGCTGAGCACTTGAAAACCTGGGTCCCAGTGCCTTTAGAGAGCTCCAGTTTCCTTGCATGATTGGCCACATTGCCAGTCAGTCAGTATTTCTCATTCCTTCTGCCAGCATGCAGTTCTGCATGGACTGTATTCTCCATCTACTGGTGCTGAGCACTTGCATCTACCAAGCATGCAATGGTAATTTTGATAACATTGATTGGATGGTAAAGGCAGGCAAGAGTTTCCTCACACCCAAGAACAGCAGAAAGTGCTTAGGCACAGCATCTTCATATCATGGGAATAATTGTGCCGTCTCTAGGAAAATGTACCTTTAAAAGTCTTCCATTTAACATGCCCTTTCTGTGTGATATGGTCTTTGGCAAAAATATGCCTGCAAAGCAATTATACAGTTACATAATTAAGCTATTCCCAGTCTGACTCTCCTTCCCTCCCTATTCCTTTTCCTTGTTCAGTTCCATTTTTGTAGACTAGTAAGACTCAGACTGCAATAGGAATATCTTGGAGGGAAGATCCACATGTTTAGAAAAACAGAAATTGGATCAGAATGATGGAAATTAAAGTCTCCATATAACTGAACTCCTCTTAGTGATGCTCTCTGTACTGAATAACTCTGTCCTTTGTTATTACAATAGCCGTAGGCTGCGGAACAGGGTGGGCCACCCGGGCCATGACCCGACCAACTTTTAGCATATTAATTTAGCTAGCAGTGCAGTTAAAAAAAAAAAAAATAGCTATACAGTTTTAACCAGAATGACAATTGCGCGTTTGTGGGTTATATAAATTAATGTGCTAAAAATTGGTCGGGCCACAGCCCGGGTGGCTCACCCCATTCTGTGACCTATGACAATAGCTGAAAGGTAAATTAATCTGAAAAATGCTCTAACAGATAGATAATACCCGCTGTGTTTTAAAGTTCCTATATTCAGGATAAAACTAATCAATCCTCATTAAGGACTGGGGAAATTAAAGTCTTATCACCATTTACAGTCATATAAGCAGAGCAGAGGTATCATGACATGCCATATATTATGACAATGAGCTGGCTGGAACATTTACTTGCAGTCTAAGACCTAAAGGATCTATACATCCACTTGACTTGCTAGCTGCTGACTGCTTCCTGATCACCTCACTACCTAGTTAATGGATCAATTTAATTAAAAATGGTCTTGAAGTTGAGAGGAGAAAGAGTCTGAGAACTAATATCCAGTTCTGAGGCCCAATTATTTTGCCAGTTGCTTACATGAAATGCCCGTTCACTTCACTGGCCTTCCAGACACAAAACAATCATGCCCCTGATCTGTTACCTTAGTCCTAGGGGTTGGCAAATTCCAAACCTGTGCCAGATGAAGGGACTTAATCTATTTGGGAGATTAATGGAAGCCACTGGTTATGAAGAAATGCATCCCATCTTCTGTTACTTAGCTTAAAGTTCCCTTCTGACCCCTGAAGCTGTCTGGGATAACAGGACTTAACTGTTCCTAACCTTTTTTGCCTCATCCATCCATCCATTCATCCACCCATACAATTCACTCTTTGCACTACTGTGAGTGACTGAGTTGATTATTTTGTAATGTATTCCTACATTTTCTCTTTTTTTTTTGTAAAATAAGAAAGTCTACACACTGGCTAACTGTAGAGGTGCTTTCATTTTGTTATGTTCTTTTTATTATAGCAGTTCTGGAGTGGGATGTCATTTTTGTTTGAACTGTGGGAAAACTGTTAAATAAATGTAAAGGCAAGAGAAATCCCCAGAGTTTTATTGCAAAACTGAAGTTGTGTCATGTATGTTCTGAATGTTGCTGCTGTGATTTCTCTATACCAACTCTCTAGCATTTAAACTGCTCTGAGTAGTGCGCATGTGGACATAATTTACAAGTGCTGGGATGATGCAAAGAAAGGGAGTATTTCAGCTAAATAACCAGTGAGATGGATCTGATTTCCAACGGAAGTTGTAGGAGGACCAAAGCTGTAATCATTTAATAGGTGTGCAAAGCACTGGTGATACACTGTAGGGAAGAACTCTGCTCTTGTGGGTGCATTCGGGGTCAAATGACCTACTCCTGTAGTCAACCTTTTTCATCATTAACTTAGGGACTACAACTTCATTTCAGATTGATGTTTCCCACAGAGTGGACTCCTTGAGTTTCTAGTGTCTATAAGTTACTGAGGCATGAAAAAAACATGAGACCAGCATCTGACTGTTGTCATCAAATGTTTGCGGGAAGTGAAGGAAGCTAGAAAGCAAAAGGGAAAACCTTTAATGAGAGCACCTGGGGTATATTCATTGAAGTTTAAAGTCCTCTTTACAATTTTTTTCTGAAATGTTGGTGCCCTGGCCCAGGGAGTATGGGATGCAGTACTTACCCCCTTGCACGGGGTGGCAGTGCAAGGAGGCAACATGCCCAGCAATACCTACCTCTTGCTTTGGTGGCATCAGCAGCAGCATGGGCTCCATGGGAGCTGCCATTCTGGTGCCCCCCCTCTGAATTGGCATCTGGGGCTCGTGCTCTACTCACCCCATCACCCCACCTTGTTACACTATTACTGGGCATGTTTGCAAATTTAGATAAGCCACACATCAATTCAGTGTGCTGCAGCCTCTGCCAAGGTTACTAGGACCAGCTTTACCCTGCTGTCTTCCTTGCAGCCACTCTGAACTAGACAGAGACCCAGGATATCTGGTAAATAAGAGAAAACTAGTTCTCTCTCACAAGGGCTGTACCACTTCCAGTATTATGTGACTGATTTGCTATCTTCCTTCCCTGTTTTCCAGATTGTGCTATGGTAATATTGAGGGTAAAATTAAAGCAAAGAAAGAGCATGTGAAATAATCTCCCCACTTGCTCTTCAAGTAACAAGCAAACCAGGAGAATTAAGTCCTTTTAGATTCATTTAGATGTGTAATGACACTTGAAACTTGTCTTTTGGGATGTGGTGGTTGGCACTTGAAATGGATGGATGAGGATGATATCTTTGTAACACACAAGTAGTGTTACAGAGAGAGAAAGAGAGAGAGAATACGAGACATATGGCCAGGTTGGGGCCAAGCAATTGGAAGTACAAGCAGTTGCCTTTGTAATAGTGCTTTCGGTATCCAGTCAGGACAAGGTGAAGTGTCAGCCGATAAAAGGCGATCATGCAGGAGCTCCATCACAGTGCACAGGCCAGAGCTAGACTCAAGTAGAACAGGTCAGTGGAGCCCTCAACTGGCAAGTAGACCTACTTGATTCAGCTGTGTGGTAAAATTATGGGCAAGAATGTTGACTCTGCAACTTGTCCTGGACCCTGCTAAACACTAGCTGTGGTCCTGTATGGAAAAGATGTATTTTAGCATGATTTGACTGACACCATCTTCAGAAAAATATCCTTGTTCCATATTGGTCGCTGCATTTGAAGCCTTCTAGCATCTGCCATGTTAAAACATGGGAGTTGCTAATGGTGTTTCAGTCAGGTGCAAAAGCTGCCTTATTTAGCCCCAAACTGCAGTGCTGTGAAGCAGGAGGCAGCTCTGCTGTTAGGCAGAACAGAAAAGGAAACACCTGCTTGCTTGCACGCCTGTTGGGGCATTATCAGTTTAACAACTATAGCAATAAGG